GGCACCGTGTGACTTTTTGTTTGGGGGTTCAATGCATCATCCCCATTCTGGTACCCTGTCTGGTTTGGTCAGCAGAGACTGATGGCATCTCTGCACTAACACTTGAACATGTATTTCTTGCCCATCAGCAAGATGGGCTCATCACTGGGAGACAAGGAAGCTCTCCTCCACACCGTGGAGACTCCGGGATCCAGCCTGCGAAGATCTCAGGGCTCCAGCGTCTGAACACAACACCTCCACAATTGCAACCACATGGAAGAAAGAGTCAGTGGTTCCTCAGGGACTTTTCCTGACCTTATTATAGAGGTGAAGGAGCTCTGGTGGTGCAGTACCTAAGGCACTTGACTGCTCATCAGAAGATTGGTGCTTCAAACCCACCAGCCATTCCACAGAAGAAAGATGGGGCAATCTTCTTCAGTAAAGGTTTACTGCCTTGGAAACCCAATGGGCATCGCTATGAGTCAGAATCAACTCAATAGCAGTGTTTTTTTAATGTATATTATTATAAATTTTATTATAAATTTTCTATTATTATAGAAGTGACACTTAACCGCTTTTGCTCAGGAGCCTTGAGGTAGGACAAGCTCAATATCCCCAACCCAACTTGTGACAGACCTAAGCTACAGTGTCCCTAGGTACCCAGAGGTCCCTGGATGGCACAGACTTTTTGAGCTCAACTACTAATTGAAAGGTTGGTGGTTCAAACCCACCCGGAAGAAAGAGTTCCCAGTCTGCTTCTGTAAAGATGACAGCCAGGAAAATCCTGTGGAACTCAGTTCTGTCTGTGACACATGGGGTCACCATGAGTTGGAGTTGACTCCATGGCAGTGGGTGTGGTTTGGGCTTTGCTTCTGTAAAGATTGACAGCCTTGGAAAGTGTGGTGCAGTTCCACTCTGTCCTCTAGGGGCGCTGTGGGTCAGAATCAACTCCAGGGCAGTGGGTGTGGTTTGGGCTTTGCTTCTGTGAAGATTGACAGCCTTGGAGACCCTGTGGTGCAGTTCCACTCTGTCCTCTAGGGGCGCTGTGAGTCGGAATCCCCTCCAGGTACTGGGTGTGGTTTGGACTTTGCTTCCATGAACACAGACAGCCTTGGAAACCCTTTAGGGGCACTTCTACTCTGTCCTTTAGGGGCGCTGTGAGTTGGAATCAATTCAGTGGCAGTGAGTTTGGTGTGGGTTTTGGTTCCATGAAGACTGACAGCCTAGGAGACCCTGTGGGGCAGTTCCACTCTGTCCTCTAGGGTTGCTATGAGTTGGAATTGATTGGATGGCACACAACACACACACACACACACACACACCATTGATTGGATGGCAGGCAACACGTACACACACACACAACACAAGTAGTGGTTTTCAAGTTTGTTTTAAAGCTGAGGAATACTTTAAATGAGATTTTCTCAGAAGCTCGATATGTGAAGGGATAACAGTTGCAGTGTGTGGGTCGACCTGGAACAGAGGGCTGTATTTGGAAGGGACTGACATTTAGTCAAAACCTAAGGGAACCTAAGGAACAGCTGGAGAGGAAGTACAGCTGGGTGACAAAAGGATAAAAGAACCTGTGAGCACACCCATATGGAGTCGGGTCTCCAGACCTATAAATATTCTATGGACAGCCCTGAAATCAAGAGGCAGACCCCCAGGGGAGGACGACATGGTCTTCTGATTTTCAGGAAAGGCTTGCTTCATAGTAACATGGCGTGGGAGGAGTTTGAAGGAACATGGACAGTTTTATAGAGAAATGAAGCAGAAGGGACTAACTCCTCACAAAATTTTGATTATTTGAAGGGTCGTTCTAAAGTGTATGTGGACCAGGATTTTAAAATATGTCATCAGAGAATAGAATCTATCAGAGAAAAATTTGATAAGAATATTTTGCTGGTGTATAAAAAACACGTATTTTTCCTTTACAAAGTGATAAATGAAGGAGCCCTGGTGGTGTAGTGCCTAAGACATCTGACTGCTAACCAGAAGGTTGGCAGTTCAAACCCACCAGCTACTTCGCAGAAGGAAGACTGGGCAATCTACTTCTGTAGTGATAGTGCCTCGGAAACCCAAGGAGGGGTCACTATGAGTCGGGTCCAATTTGATGGCAGTGAGTTTGGTTTGGTTTTTGGAAAGCGATAAATGATCCATAGTGATTTCTGTCCCAGTCCTTGGTGCTGCTCCAACAGAAATCTCCCAGGTGAGTGGCTTTCCCAATCAGAAATCTGTCCGGTCACAGCTGCGGAGGGCAGAAGCCCGAGTTGAGGGCGCCGGCCCGGAGGAAGGCGTTCTCCCTGCCTCGGCTCTGCAGGAGGGCCTGGTCTCCTCTCAGCTTCTGTTTCCTGGTTCCTGACCATCACCCTCTGACGTCTGTCTGCCCCATCTGTTTGCTCACGCTGCTGCTTTCAGATCTTCTAAGACATTGAGTCAAGACTCACCCTACCCCAGTACTGCATCATTAACATAATAAAGATAGCCCACTCCCACACAGGGTCCTAACTACAGGTATGAAAAACCACAGCCAAATCCACTGCCAGCAAGTCCATTCGGACTTATAGTGACCTTATAACACAGAGTGCAGCTGCCCCAGAGGGTTTCCAAGGTTGCCCATCTTTATGGAAGCAAAGCCCAAACCATCGATTCTGACCCACAGCACCCCTAGAGGGCAGAGTGGAACTGCCCCACAGGGTTTCCAAGGCTGTCAATCCTTAAGGAAGCAGACTGGCTCATCTTTCTCCTTTGGAGAGGCTAGTGAGTTTGAAATGCTGACCTTTGGGTTAGCAGCCGAATGCTGTAACCACTCCACTCCCAGAGCTCCTACTACACGTACAGGGGTAGGATGTACACCACTAAATTTTGTTGTTGTTGTTGTTGTTGTTGTTATGTGCCCTCGAGTCAGACCCAACTCATATGACCCCCCCTTGGGTTTCTGAGGCGGTATCACTATGGAAGTAGATTGCCCAACCACTCCGAGGAGTGGCTGGTGGGTCTGAACCGCCAGCCTTCTGGTTAGCAGTCCATGCCCTAGGCACTCTGCCAATCCTTAACCGTTTCTGGAGGAGGATTTAGGAGATAGGGGGCTAGAGGAGCAGTGACTATTACCCGAAAGCATCAGCCGGCCTGTGTCCGGGACATGCAGACACGATCACCTCTAAGGCCCCAACCAACGCTCATAGGTGATTTATCGGGTTGTCAAGTTTGGGATCAGATCTGAGCTCTTTGTCTTGGTTTTC